CCCCACCCCATTGCCAGGCTGGGAGGGCACAGTGGGGGCAGGATGCGGGAGAAGAGGAGGTGACAGGGCAGGACCCAGAATCTCTCACTGACCAGCAGATAGCACAGGCCCCTCTCTGAGCCTTAGTTGCCTTCTCTGCAAAATGGGCACATATTGCCCAAATACTGGTTAGAACATGGATCCTCTGGAACTCTCATCCACTGCTGGCCAGAGTGTAGACAAATTCACCCAAGCTGGAAAATTGGCCTGATTGACAAATATTGACTGTACCCCTCTCCTCTGACCCAACAGTTCATCCAGTAGACTTGCCCGCTGGTGCTATTTATAAAAGCCCCAAACTGGCAACAACCCAAGTGTCCATATACCTTAGAGTGGATAAATTGTGGTCTCTTCCCACAGTGGAATACCATGCGGCAATGAGAATGAACAAATTACTAAATGATCGAATTTGGATGAATCACAAACAATACTGAGCAACTGAGCAACTCCCCCCAAAACACACACACACACACACACACACAGACACACACACACACACACACACAATACACTGTTTGGTTCCATTTATGTAAAGTTCCAAAGCAGGCAAAACTATGTGCAACAAGTCAGGATATCAGTTTTCTTTGGTGGGGCTAGTGACAAGGAAGATGGGGGTAGGATGGGGAAGCATGATGGTGGTTTTTGTTTCTGTTTTTAAAATTGAGATGAAATTCTCATAAATTTAACATTTCTATTTCTTGAGCTGGGTGTCGGTTACATGGATGTGTTTGGTTATGAAAATTCATTAAGCTGTATATTTTGGTGCACTTTTCTAATAAATGTTTTCTTGAAAAAAAAAAAGAGGTGGGAAAATACGTTCCGAGGATTAAGTGAGTCAGTAGAATCCTGACCCAGGAATGGATTCCAGTGCCAGGTGGTCTTCCTCTCGCTGCGTGACTTCAGACAAGTCACTTCCTCTCTCTGGGGCCTTGTGTTCATACTTATACAATGCAATGATAATATCAGTTTCAGAAGGTTCATAATGGGAGCCTTCTTTTAGTCAACAATTGTTTCCTGAGTGACTACTATGTGCTAGATGCTAGAGAAGTCACAAGGAACTAAACCAACATGATTCCTATCCTCCTGGAGCTCACAGTTTAGCCAGGGAAACAGATACTGAACACGAACGCAGGACATTTCTAGCTGGTGAGGAGGACTTAGAAGAATATAGACAGACTCAAGTAGAGGCTGAACAGAAGTGACAGTTTTTGAACTGTAAAAATCAAAGAGGGCAGCCCAGAGGAGGGGACATTTGCGGCCTGAAGCATGAGAAGGAGCCTGACCATGGGAAGAGCATGCTAGGTAGAAGGAACAGTTTGTGTAAAGGCAGGGGTGACCAGAATCCACAGGGTAGGGTCATTAGGACTACCTTGATGGGCGTGTGGCCTGTGCAGTCACCCTGTGCAGTCACCCATGCTCAGAAGGCCTCCACACTACATTTGATTTAATGCTCTGCGATAGCTGTCTTGAAGCTCTTGCTTTTTGAACAAGGGGCTCTGCATTTTCGTGTGTATGGGCCTTGCAAATTCTAAGACCATCCTGAAGAGGTAGATCTTCAGTGAGGGCCAAAGACCCTTCTCCTGGAGCTGTACATGTTCACGCAGGTGCACACACTTTAGATATGCCCACTTTATTCATGCTGAATTGGGCCACTCCTTGCACACACAATGGAGTTTCCCCATGTTCTGCTGTATCCCTGAGCGTTTATCACTTTGCTGCATAGTGGCCCCACTCCCAATTCCCTGCATTTTTGCTGGAGGATTTTCTTTGACAGATGAAGTCCACTCTGCCCATACAACAAGCAGCCCTGAAGTGCCAGAGAATTAACACCACCCAGAGAGCAGCCCTCAGTCCATAGACTATGGGAGTTTGAGGATCAATAACCTAGCTCTCTTGTGTCTTCAGTGGGATGACTTTGAGGTGTGTGTCCTATGCTGTTTCCCAGAGGTCCCGAGTGGGAATGAGCTCCATGCACCCCAAGTGCCAACCTGCTTGATAAAGCACCCTTTCCAGGCTGTCTTCCCTTCCTTACCTCTCTTCCTTGTTCTCCAACTAATATGTCCTGAGATCACCTTCCAAACTACTTACACTGGAATTCTTGTCTCAGGGTCTGCTTTTGGGCAAACCCAAACTGAGATGACGTGTGCAAACACAGATGATGCACAGACACAAGCTTTCTTTCCATAATCTCTTTATTTGAAGTTCATTGGCTGGTAGGCGTGACTGGAGGTGGCTTCCTCTTGGATCTCCTGGAGGCCCTTCTGGCAGTTCTTAGCTTCACATTCTAGAAAAGACAAGAGAGCATGAGGCTGGGGGGGCGGGGGTCGGTTGAGGCTGAGTTTCCCCTCCTCATAGTGGGTCCCTGCATGGGGAAAAGGACTAAGTGAGGGGGTAGGTACAACACTGACTGCAGGCCTACTTAACAAAATAGAGTGGCAATATGCAGGTAATATGAGATTGTGCAGGTGTGTGAGCATAGAGATGTTTTAGTGATTGAGGTCGGGGTGGGGCCCAGGTTGCGCTGGCTGGGCCTAGATTGTTCCAGCATAAGAATCGTCATCAGGGTCAAGGAGGCTGGGGCTGAGCAAGCATCCTCAGGGCTGAGACTGGGCAAAAGACTGCAACATAGGGTTAGGGGATGGACAGCTAGACAGGCAAGGGGTTTTCTGTAGAGGGTCATGGGCTAGGTGACCCTTGTGTGAACAGAAGGCCTCTGGGTAGGGGGGCAGGGGCAAGGCCAAGGTTGGGTGGGCTGGGATGAGACTGTGTAGGTAGGAGGGTTGTGACTTGGGCATAGTGATGCAGGCCAGGCTGACGTTGTGGGGGCAGAATGGCTGCTGCAGGGGTCAGGGTCCATGCCCTGATTGGGAGGGTAGAAGTGATGAAGGCTTGGCAGAGGACAAGCTGGCCGGATCAGGGGCTAGGCTGAGGTTGAGCAGGCAGAGGATGGGGTGGTGGTAGTAGTGGCGGTGGTGGTAGGAAATGTTGCGAGCAGAACAACTTAATACTGGGCCTAAGTTGCCTGAATAGAAGGGCCGCAAGGGAGATCAGGGACCTGGCTGAGGCTGTGTGGGCATAGGAGTTACAGGAAGGAGAGAGGGGCCTGCCGAGGTTGGGCAGGCAGACAGGGGTCAGGAGCTGAGCTTGTGTCAGATGGGTCGGAGGCTGAGGTAGTGCGGGCGTTGCGGACTCACCGCGTCGAAGTGTGGCCAGGTGCGCAGCAGCTGGAAGAGCGCGTCACCAGGGCAGTCCGTGGGCACGAGTTGGCGGTGGCCAAGCAGCTTATAGTCCGGCCGCAGGAGACCGGCGCGCACCGCACACCTGGGGAGCACGTCGCGCACCACGCGCAGCGCGGCCTCGACCGGCAGTTCCGCGGTATAGTTGCCCACGAAAGCCACGCCGAAGCCGCGGGAGTTGTAGCCACGTGTGTGAGCGCCCACCCAGTGCCAGCCTCGACCCTCGTACATGTAGCCGTCTGAGCCCATCACAAAACTACAGGGTGGGGTGGGGGGACAGGCACCGAGCAGCGTAAGAGGGCGACCTGGCCCATATATGTGCGAAGGGCCACCCCCATCCCAAGTCCTGACTGGTTGCGCTGTCTTTTCCTGGCTCCGGCCTCATCCCACTACCCCACCAAATGCCACTCCAGAAACCTGGTTCTCTGGATCTGACCCTCGGCACTGAACACGCTCCTTTCTGCCCAGCCCCCTCCGCATTTTCTCGAGTACAGTCCCTGCCCGATTCACAGCCTTTTTCTGTCTTAGGCCAAACCCCATCACTGCCGCGCCTCAACCCTAGTCGCTACCACAGGTCCTTTCCCTCTCCCAAGCCCCTCCTCCTTTTCTAGTCTCACCCCAGACCCAAGTTTCCCACTGTTGAGTATTCCCGAGCTCTGTTAGGGCCCCACGCTTGTCTAGGCCACACCCCTCTCCACCTCAAAATCCTCCTCCTTCTTGCCAAGTTTGCTCTGGTTAACCCCCGCCCCCTGCTTGAGGCCCCGCCCACCCAGTTGTTCCCTTACGTAACAGGTCCCGCCCCTGTCTCGTCGGGCCCCGCCTACCTGTAGCCGATGTCATCCCAGCCGCGCGTGTCCTGGTGGAAGCGCTGCATGGAGCGCATGTTGGCGGCACAGCTCGCGAGGGTTGTACAGGGGAGAGCAGGCACGTACGTGTGATGCACGTACAAGAACCCGAGCGGCAGCCGCAGCGGCGTCGGGTGGCCCCGGTACGGCGCCGCGCCCCAGACGCAACGGGGATGGATGGCCGGGCACCCTGCAGGTAAGGGCGTCCGGGGCTGGAGTCAGCCAGTATTTCTCTGCCTGCCACTTGCACCCCCATTAGAAAGCTCATATGGGCCATTCCTCCCAGCCTCCTTCCAGATTTGGGGACAGTTCAATCTCACACCACATTGACCTTCATTGGGATCTAACTTAACTAAATCTGAGTTAGTCCTGTTGGAATATCTGCTATGACTCCCACCCGCTTCAGGATAAACTTCAAGAATTGTAGTTCAGACTTCAAGGCTTTTTACAGCCCAAGACCCAACACTCTCTACAGCTGGCCCTTCTCTGACCCCTAGGAGAGACAGCTTACAATAAGAAAAGAGGAATCTTGACTCTCGTTTATCATGCTCCACTTGTGTGCTACTTGCTTTACATGCTTCATCTTAAGTCATCCAGCAAATCCAAGAGGTAGCAATGATTTACTCTGCCTCACTGAAGAAAGTGAGATTCAGAGAAGTGAAGCAACTCACCTAAAGATGCACAGGAGTAACTGGCTGAACTTCCATTCCAATATGTGCTTTTGCATTTGCTGAGCCCACCTCCTCAATACCTTCTTTCTCACTTTCCTTTTTGTCCTATGAACTCCTAGTCATCCTTCAAGACCCAAATCTAGCCTTTCCTTACCTGTGCAGCTACCCTGGCCCCTAAGCTAGAGCCCTACTGCCCCCTCCAGAATCCCCTAGACCTGGATCCCTCTGACTACATGGGGCTGAGAGTGTCTGTGTCTTTGTGAGGGACAGTCATAGAAGGTGGGGGCCCTTCTCACCCAAGAAGGCCTTGGTGAATTCCTTGGTGGCATGGGTGGCCACCAGCACCAGCTGTTCTTGGCTCATGCCCTGCAGCTGAGGGTGTGCAGGCTCCAGCCTCTGTAGCAGGATGAGGGTCCCCCACACCTGCTGAGTCAGGGCGGGAGCTGAAATCAGAGTAGCTCCGTTCTGCCTTCGGAAGTTGCTGCGAAGTGTTGGGTCTCCGGCCACCCCAGGTCCATAGTACTGGCTCAGCAGGTGGCTGAGAGGTGGCCGGGGCTTCGGAGCCCGAGTCAGGTAGTCTCCAAGGAGGGCCCCATCCAGAGCACCATTGAGAAAAGCTGTGGTGAGCGGTGATGCCTCAGCGTTCAGAAGCGTGAAGTTCCGGGGGGTAGAAAGCTGGTCCCAGCAGCCCTCAGCTCCCAGGCCTGGGTGGCTCCAATTCTTGGGGCCCTGGAGGAAAGTCAAACCCAGGTCTCTGGCCAAAGTAACCAGGAGGCTGTCCACAGTGGTTGGGGCTTTGGCCTTGGCATCTGGCAAGGAGGCTTGGTTATCTGGAGAGGTGACTCGGACATCTGGAGAGTGGTCGCTGGCATCTGGAGGAGTGGCTGTGCTGTCCAAGGGCAAGTTAATAAGCCTGTGCCCCTGCAGCCCTGCTTCCAGCCCTGCCAGAAGAGGCTCCACGGCCACCGTTGAGCCATCAGGTGCCAGTACCACCCCGTATTCTTGCCTGCCCTGCACACTGTGTCGGGCCACCTCCTTTGTCAGGCCTTGCAACTCTGGGCTCAGTGTGATGGGATCCAACTCGATGGCCTGGAGACTCCAGCTCTGTAGCAGGAAGTGATGGAGGGGGTCATGGGGGCCAGAGTGCTGGGCTGACAGCTGCCACACAGGGGCAATGGGGATGGCTTCGGTGACCGGTGCCTTCTGCTCAAGCTCAGCCAGGACCTGGATGACAGAGTCCATGAGGAGGGGCAGGGATGCTGCAGAAGGAGGGATGGCATTAGGTCAGAGGCCTGGCATGCCCTGTTCCTGAGCCCCCCTCTGCTGCTTCCACATATTCTCAATGCCCCCAACTCTCCATCTGATAACACTGTGACCCCCAACCCTGTCCTTGTGTAAATGAGGAAACTGAGGCACAGACAACAGGTTAAAGAGCTTAGACTATCCGTGAGCACTGGGGAGCCATGGTAGGTTCCTGAGAAGGAGAGAGAAATGGCCAGGCTGGCATTCTAAGATTGCTCCTTTGGCTGCCATGTGGAGAATGAATTTTCAGGGGCCTAGAGTTGAGAAGGGGAGACTGTGGAGGTGAGTAATACAGGTGGCCAAAGCTGAGTGGTTGTGGTATGATGGACAAAAGTGGGCAGAGTCCCCAGGTATTTTGAGGGAAAGATGGATAGTTCTTTTTGTGATAGGTTAGAGTTTGGGGAATTTTAGAGAGAAAGATGTCAGGAGGTTGCCCAGGGGAGGAGAGGGTGGGCCTGTGCCTTGTGGGGGAAATATAAGCAGCTGAACTTGGAACCCAGAAATGCTAGGTTTAGAGAGAGCTGGGGTGAGTTGTTGAATGATAGCTAACATTTATTAACATTTACTGTGTGCTAGGCATCATTCTAGGTAACTTATATAATTTAACAAACCTAATCTTCTCAATGACTCCGTGAGCAAAGAGAGGTTAATTGACCAGCCTGTGGTCACAGAGCTAGGAAGTGGCAGAAGCAGAATTTGAACCCGGGCATTTTTGTTTTTTCCACTGACAGTCCACACTGTAGTTCCTCTGTTCTTTCTACCTTAAATGCCCTTTCCTGCTTCTCCTCAAGTAAAATTCTTCTTTCTGTCCTAGATCTGTGTCCTCTTCTCCAGGAAGCCTTCCTCATTTTTCTTCTTTAGGCCCCAGGTCTTTCGCCCACCCGCTGCCCTGATTCTATGGGGCTGGGAGCATCTGTGTTCCCAGACAGGAGATTCCTTGTAACGGGTCTCCTGGGGTTTCCAGTCTCATCCTATGCAAGGCTGGACACAAAGGGTATGGCAGTATACTTCTGCAGAACTGATTGTCCTGGTCCCAGGCCTCTGCCTTCTGACCCACCTGACCCTGGCTCCAGCCACAGGAACAATCCAAGCAGGATCCAATGGACACCTTGGACCACCGTTGTGGGGTTCCAGCTTCTGGGAGACATATCCGGTTAACCTAAGCGGAGACCTCAGCAGAGCTGGAAGGAGACAGGTGTGGAGAACTGAGCACAGCCTTTGGTCACTGTCAAAGTCCAACGGTGAATGACACGGTTGCTTCTTGCAGAGCTGTGGGCGGGAGGCAGCCGGGGTGTGGGAACAAAGTACCCTGTGTCAATGTCATGTGGGTCTCAGGGGCTCTATCATCCTATCCTGTCCCTCCCAGGATGAAGTCAAGAGTCAATAAGGCAGGCCTATCCCAGGAAGCACCTAGAGGCCAGGTAATTCAGATGCCAACAGAAGAGAGACAGACTGAGGCCAATCCAACAAGCCCTACCCACTTCCTAATCATTCAGTAGCTGCTGCTGGCCACCACAGGGGACTCTCAGGTGCCCGCCCAACTGGTAAGACCAGCTGAGCTGGGGAAGGGGAGAGAAGGAGAGGCCTGAAGTTGGCACTGCCTCCTGCCTTTGCTGCCAGCACTTCAGGCTCAGGCAGAGAATGGGTGCAGGGGCTGGGAATTATTTTTGCCGATGCATACTCTGGACCAAAGGGACCAGAAGATGTCCCCTCTCATCTAGTTCCAGCTCCTGATCCCAAGCCATCAGGCATGGCTGAGAGTAGGGTTTGGACCAGGGCCTTCCAGACCCTGGCTTTGTCCCAAGAGCTGGTGGTGTCTGGGCTCACCTGGGTTGTCACTGAGGGGTCCTTCCTCTTCCCCCGGGGCTGTGGTTGAGTACCCGCAGAAGTGAGACTGCCTCCCCTTTATTAGAGCATCAGATGGGATGGGCTTAATGTGCCTGGGGCTGCCATGTAAATTGCTTCACTGTGGGCCTCCTATCCTGAAACCACCCTGGGGAGTTTCCGGGGTACCCACCAGGCGGGGTCCTCAAGTGCAGGGCGGGCCCTGGGCGGGCCTGGGAATGCCCAGGCTGAGCCAGACCTGGGATTTCCCAGGGGACCTGCTCAGATATCCGGGTGTCATCTTTCTGGGGACCCGGCATCACCTGGCACAAAGCTGGGCACTCAGTGGGGGCTCAGGAAGTTGGGTGCTAGGGAAGGGAATGAATTGAGGTACTCCCTAGGTAAATCTGACAAAATATCTTCCCTTTAGTCCCAATTTCCAGGGATTTGCAGATGGAGGCTCTGCCTGGTAGAGCCACGTGCGAGATATAGGTTGTGTGTCCATCTGGGACAGGGGCAGAGTGAGGAGAGTGAAGCATCCTGCTCGGGCACAAAATTTAAGGCAGTGTCGAAAATCTCAGTCATCAAGATAAGTAATATTTTTATGCAATATTTTAATAGACCAAAATTAATGCAAAAAAATCTATGATGAACAAAATGCCAACATTTTAGATAAAGATGGGATCAGGAATCGTGCTGTGCGGAGACATATTGGAGCCAGAGGTGAAAAGAAAGGTCAAGAATTCTGATCCTTGCCTCGCCGTAGTCCTAGCTCTGTGTCCACCAGTAGTGAGCCCCAATTGTTGTGGGGGGCTGTCACCTGAGATTCCCCCGCACTTGATTTCCACTTGGTCAGGGAATGACCTTGAATCAGCTTATAGGCCCTGGGTTTGTACCTCTGACTGTCCCAGTGACTATGGCTATGGAAGACTCTTGCAGTTTTATTTAACCATCTTATGCCCATTTTACCCAGCAGGTGGTTGAGCTCAGAAAAGTTAAGTAACTCGCCCAAGGTCACAAAGCTAAAACATGGGGAGGGCTCCAAGTTCAGTGCATGTTTCCACTATTCCGTGGATGGGTCAGGGTCAATGTAATTGTGACCCTTCATGCTGGGGAAGTGTTTACAGACTAACTGCAGGGTGACTCCACACCCAGGAGTTCATGGACCAGCTAGAGAGGCAGCCTCGATTCCCTTTTAAAGCTTGGAATTGCTTGCAGAGGCTGGGTCAAATTTGAGCCAGGGTCATGACAGGGCTGGTTGGCATTTCCCTGAGGATCTGTCTGGGATTTGTGACCTTCTAGGTAGTCCCCTTCCTCTAGGAAGCCTCCCTGATTGCCCCTGGTTCCCTCATTTTCCCAACCTGGCTCCCTAGCCAGGTGTTCCTCCCTTTGACCCAGACCTGTCCATTTAGGGCTTGGTGCGCCTCTGCCCAGTTTCTTCTCCCTGAGACTAGGAGATGCTGAGTTCTCTTGGGGTGCCCATAAGTGCCCAACACAGGCCAGGGACCAAGTGCGTAGCCCGGAGGGATTGCTGAAAGCACAAAAGGCCTGATTAAGGATGTATAGTTAGTTTGGAGGTGGGCTGTGAAACACACATGCACGCATACACACACATCAGGTACCCACACTCCAAGGCACCTAGTCTGGTCTGGGCCTGGGAGGCAGCAGAAAGACTACGGTTCCCACAATGAACAACCCCCACCCCTACTTCCCTCCCACCTCATGAAGCTCACCTGCCGGGGTAGGTCAAGTTCCCTCCAGGCTGCAGATAGGAGTCTTGCGAGAGACAGGGACTTGGGGACAGCTCTAGTAGAGGTAGCATTGTCATAGACAGGCAGAGTCCTGGACCCTGGATCTGAAGTGACCCAGGGCCAGAAGCCAGAGGGAAAGGAATTTAGGGCAGGGCTGGGCTTGGGGCCAAGGTCAGAGTTAATAATATTCACTTTGGTAGCAGTAATATAGTAATAATGAAGACCCTGATAAAAATAATAAAACTTGCTGTGTGTAGGGCTTTGAGTTAAAATTTTATATACCTGTTCTTTTTTTTT